TTTTCTTTTCTTTTCTTTTCTTTTCTTTTCTTTTCTTTCTTCTTTCTTTCTTTCTTTCTTTCTTTCTTTCTTTCTTTCTTTCTTTCTTTCTTTCTTCTTTCTTTCTTTCTTTCCTTCTTTCTCCTTTTTCTTTTGCTGAGGATTACATCCAGGGCCTCTTACATCCTAGGCAAACACTTTACCACTGAGCTGTGTCCCAGCCCTTTTTAGTTTGAAAGGGTCTCCCAAGTTTGCCCAAGTGGTACTCAAACTTGCGATCCTCCTTCATGCACCTCTTGAGTAGCAAGAAGAGTAGCCCCTCTGTGCCCGGCTTCTACTCATTCTTTAGTGGTATTTTGTTTGTTTACTGATAGGTTATTTTAGAGCAGTTTTAAGTTTGCAGAAAAATTAGGGCAGAAGGTATGGACAGTCCCTGTATCACTCCCTACACTACCTCCCCAGAGCTTCCCGTTAGGGACATCTTGCATGAGGTTATATTATATGACCCTGTAGGGTGAGGCGTTAGTACAGCTGACAGCAAATGCTGACGCGCTATTATGGACTACAGTCCACAGTTCCCATTCATGGTCACCGTTCTGTGCTGTGGCCCATGAGCTCTGCCTCAGCTGCCATCTCACCCACCATTCTGTGTCCCAGGAGAGTTTCACCGCCCTAAAGTGCCCTCTGCTCCATTCACCTCGTCACCCCTCACCCCCCTCCCAAGCTCTGAAAACCACTTTTTATGTACGTGTGTGCGCGTGTGTCCCAGGAATTTCTAGCGGATGAACGGCCACGGCACATCCACAGTGCTCTGGAGCAGTGGTGCTGCAGCGCTGGCTGAGCCAGAGGGGAGGAGCCTGTGGGCAGGACAGCGAGGGCACCGAGGCTGGTGGTCTGGAGCAGGCACAGGGAAAGGCGCGGCTAAGCTGGTGCACGGCTAAGCTGGTGCACGGCATTCTCGTCCGGGTGTCCTGGAGAAGAGAATAAGCAGGCAGCTGTCTGCAAAATGTCCTGAACATTTCTTTTGTGCAGATCATAGAGGAAGAGTTGCATGCACAAGCCCTTATTCTAGAGTCACTCAACACAAACCTCTACCAAACCCAGCTGGAGCTCCAGAAAGAGGTGAGTGCCGACGCTGGTTGGCTGGGGGTGGGAGTGTCTCGCCGTGCTATCTGGTAACTGCCTGCGTGTCTCAGGGAGGGCAGCCACCAAACTATATGTCTTTCAGAAAGCTGCAGTGGGAAACCTAGAAAAAGTGCTGCAGAACAAGCTTGCCGAAGTTGAAGAAAAGTACAAGTACACCATTCAGAATCTCACAGAAGAAAACAGTCACCTAAGGTGTGGACGCTGCTGCTGATGGTGGAGTGGCTCCAGGGGTGGGAGGGCGCTTGCGTGAGGAGTGGGTTCAGAGGACAAACCAGCTGCTCTTCGGGGGAGTCAGTCACTTTGAGCTGGCCACAAGTTTCCAGCAAGGTGGCACCATTCACTTGAGGGATGGTGTCTAGGCTTCCCTCCCTTACTTGCATTGCTGTTCTTTTTTTTTTTTTTTTCAAAATGACGCAAGAGACCAGGAATGGTGGCACACACCTGTAATCTCAGCATTCAGGAGGCTGAGGCAGGAGGATCACTGCAAGTTCAAGGCCACCACTGGGCTATGTAGTGAGCTCAAGGCCAGCCTGAACTGCATAGTGAAACAGTTCAAAAAACAAAATGACACAGGAAGTTCACCTGTAATTTCTGAGATTATTTAAATCTGTGTCTGAATGTTTTTTAGGTCGACTTTCCTGAGGGTTTGGTACTTTCCACGTTAATGATTTACCCTTAGATGCAGCTGCTTCTGGCTCCTATGTGAAATCAACCTCAGATGTACTGTTACCTGAAGATATATCTGAAATCATCCAAGGGAAAATTGGGCCATACTGTACTAAAGGAAACCTATTCATTGAATTGATTCAGTAGAAAATCCCTCATGGGGAATGTAAAGTAGTACAGTCACTATGTAAATCAGTATTGAGTTTCTTCATAAAAGTAAAAATAGAGATACGATTTCATGCAGCTCCTCCACTCCTTGGAATAGTCTCAAAAGACTTAAAGTCAGAATTCTGTAGAGACACCTGCATACCCACGCTTACGATGGCCACTTCACATGACTAAGCGCTGGGATCAGCCTAGTGCCCGTCAATAGATGGACGGATGAGGAAGTGTGTTCTATACATACATGACATCATATTGCCATAAGAAGGGATAAGAGGACCAGATGGCAGACTAGAAGCAAACAGCAGCCCACAGCCTCTCTGGGGCCTGGAATCCAAACATCTGGAAATAATTACTTAGTGAGGAGAGAGAACCCCAGAAATCAAGAAAAGTCCAGCAGGAAAGCCAACCGCCATAGAGAAAAGGAAAGCAGCAGTTTGGAATGCTGCCCCTGCTCCTGACACTGCAGAGTAAGGTGAGCCTGGGCAGGGCCGGCAGCCCCGCAGGTAACGGGTCAGCAGCGCTGGGCCCAGGACAAGCTCACGGTCATCTCGAGCAGCAAAGCCAGCGTGGGTTTTACTGTAAGTGGGAAAGAAATCCACCGCAGTGCCCACTACATTCAGTGGTCATCAGCAGGAGCCACTTGAGGTGGGGTCTACGGTTTAAGACTGAGCTACTTTAGAATGAGAAGTCACAGCCCAACCATAGTCAGAGTCTCTAGGGTCACCTTACCGCAGGGATGGAATGGGAGACAGCTGCATAAACAGTGGCAGAGGGCAGCCCCTGCGGGACTCCTCCTGTCTCTCAGGAGCTATTCCTATTCCCCAGTAAATTTTCCTACTCTGAAGAAATAAAAAAACCATCGTGGAGTGGGGGCAGGCTTGGCACGGAGCTCTGAGAAGCTCAAGCCACAGAGTTCCGGCTGAGGAGGCAGTGTGGTTGACAGCACTGCCTGCCCTCTGCTGTGAGAGGCCTGAGAAGCCAGGCCAGGCCATCTGGTTCCGAGAGCCGGGTCAAAGCACTGGGCCACATGGCCCTTCTTGGTGCTTACGTTCAGCACAGAGCTTGGGGGAGCTTTGCTTTCCCTGCGCACTCACATGATGGATTCAGACAAAGGGTGTCTGGAGCAAGTGGGGGATCTCATGAGCCCACAGAGCTAGCTGCAGACTGAGTGGCTCAGAGTGTGCAGAAGACACAGAGGCACAAGCCTCTGGAATGCACATGGCCCTGGTGCAGACACCACCACTGACAGACACCACCACTGACTGACAGGCAACACCACTGACTGACAG